TGTTCATCACTTGCAGCTATGTACTCTTGTATGACTTGTTTGATCCTTTGATGTTTTGAACTTTAAACTTTTGATAACAGTTTGGAAGAGACTTTTGGATGTGGTTATCTGAATGACTTCAACACTGCTTGTCTACAAGAACCACAGTCTGTTTCAGTTCTCCAGCATCTTCTCAGGTATGAAGGTTTCTGATATCAAGTCTGCTTCTGCTTATTGAAATAGTGTTATTGCTGACCACTAGAGTCAACAAGCTACCTCCTGCCTCTAGACCTTTCCCAAAGGTATACCCAAAAACCATTGTCTGCCCATTAAGCCAATGCTCAAAGTCAATCTTACCGCTGCTGAATTAGCACAGATGCTTAGCCTCCTCTAGCCCATGGAAAGCCAATAAAAACTTAATTTTTAGTTTTGGAAAAGAGCATCTTCTCACACTCTGATAAGTGAAGGAAAATCCCTGCCTTTGTGCAGCGTCTCAGAGATTGTAAGTCCTTCATTTGCATCTTAATTTCAGTTCACAGTCTTAAATACATGCATCCATTAATATCTGATACTCCCACACTAGGCTAGAGATCATACTTGTTAGCTCTCCCAAGCATTGTTGGTGAAGCTAGACTTGTTGGTAAATATTAGTCTCTAGAAGGGACATGGGTGGTTGTGAACAAAGCAGTTTTCTTTGCTTGTCATACAGTGGTCAGTTTATTCACATGTAGCTAATGTGAAGAAAAATAAACCAACCTGGTTTTCATAGCACTGAACATAGACTTTGATTGCTAGTTTATATTTTATGCTTCTATACATGGTTTTTTACATTCAGTTTAACAGTAATTTAAGTTTTTGCTCTGGATTAGGTCTAGGGAATATCAAGATAATTTAGAAAGTCCCTGCCATCAAGGAATTTGTAAGAAAGAAAAATGTGCCTTTGCCTTCAAATGTACATATGCCTTCTACTCAACGATATCAAGTCAATCTTATATCCAAGATCTTTCAACATCTTTTTTTTTTCTTAAAGCCAGTCAAATTTAGCAGTGGGGAGTTGAATTTTAACATCTTAATGTCTTAGCGTGCACAGTCTTTCCCTGCCCACTGCTCGTATCATTTTTCTTTTAGGTTTGATGAGGTGCTTTATAGATCATCTCTGGACCTTCAACCCAGACACATCGTCAGTTACCTTCTAACTCTAAGGTACTTATAATCTTCCTATTTTCAAGTATTAATGACATTTGAGACCTTCTGACCTGACAAACTTTCTTTAGAGTTTTCCTATAAACAAATCACTTGGCCTAAAAATTGGTATATCTTAGCAAATTAGCAATTAATGTTCATTCATTCAGTGATATAAGGCATGGTCACTACAGTCTAGAAAATGGAAACTGCCAACTACATAGTTACAGCCCAGTGCATATGTGTAATGATAGAGTAAACATAAGACACAGTGTTAGGTCACCCAGTCCAAGCTTGAGAGATCAGAGAAGGCTTCTAAGTAGATATTAATCAGGAGAAGTAATATGGCCGGGAAGGAGGGAAAAGCCTACAGTTTGAGTAAGAACATAATATGTTAAAGGAACTATAAGCATTGTCCTGGGAGGGATGAGAAATGAAGCATGTACAAGCCCTTTGCCATGTATGGAGGCATTTAGACTTATTTTCAGGGCAGTGGGGTCCATAAAAGGATTTTTAAGCAGAGGACAGAAAAATTAGCTAGAGGATAGAGAATGAATTGAGAGGCAAATCAGTGACATTTTGATGGACATTTCATGGTGGCTATTTTAAAAACTTTTAATTCAAGTTGAGTCTACTCTTGTACAGCAACAGCTGTATCTTCCCATAAAGTTATTTAAGAAAGGAAATTTTGCTTTTACTCAAGATTTACTGAAATCAGAGACTTATCAGGACTGTTTTCTTGGTTATACTTTTTACCTTTTCTTCCCCAGATTTAAATAAGATGTTTTCTTCCTTCAAGTGCCACTTAGACATACAGAGATGAAAAAGCCAGAAAGTTTTATGACATGTCATTTAATAATTAAAACAAATGTCTTGGCCCAGCACAGTGGCTCACACCTGTAATCTTAGAACTCTGGGAGGCCAATGCAGGAGGATCACTTGAGGTCAGAAGTTCGAGACCAGCCTGAATAAGAGCGAGACCCCATCTCTACTAAAAATAGAAAAAATTAGCCATGCGTGGTGTCATGTACCTATATAGTCCCAGCTACTCGGGAGGCTGAGGCAGGAGGATCACATGAGCCCAGGAATTTGAGGTTATAATGAGCTATGATGACGCCACTGCACTCTTGCTGGGGTGACAAAGTGAGACACTGTCAAAAACAACAAAAAAACTAAAATAAATGTCATCATTTTTCTGGCACATTGTTCTACGCTGCCATACCTAAAGAAAAGATACTTTAAAGAAGGTGGCCAGTGTGTGCAGAGTGGATTGATAAGTAGTCTCTACCCCACCTTCTAACTGTGCAGAGGGGAAAAGGCCATGCTGTATTATACTTTTAATTATAGGCTGCCAAAGTGAGGAAAGGAATCCCCTATATTTGTAAAATTAACAATGAAATCATAATCTCACAAATTGCCACCTATTAGTAGTAGAACTAGGACCAAGATCTAAAGCTTGAGTTTAGTGTGTTTTACTTTATCTGTTATAGAAAAGCAGTGAATTCCAGTCTCAGCTTTACAACTTTGGATATATTCTTTAATGGTTCTAAGCTTTGATTTATTTATTTTTAAGTTGAGGGAGTAAGGTAAGATATCAAGTTCATATGTTACAACAAGAAATTGCTACTGGTACTCATCATGATTTCTCTCTTCCTGTTTCAGTCATCTTGCAGCTGTGGCACACAAAACACTGCAAATAAAAAATAGTCCTCCTGAAGTGGCTGGGGTACGTTATATTAAATGTTCTCTGTATAATCCCTAGCAACCCTAGCACTAATATTACTGTCTTTCTCAAAATTTTTCTAAAATATTATTATATTCATCTATAGCATTGTGCTTACTAACTCAGGTAATAATTAGGCTGTAATAATCAGTGTTGGTTAGGCTTTAACAATCAGTGTTTATGTATTTCCCAACATGCTGGACTATGAAATATATTTTCCTACATCAGGTGTTATGGTCATAAGTTTGCCTTATCTGAAGCCATACCATATGATGAGACGGTCATTCCCACTCCACGACTCCTCGTATATACCGGTCTTACTGTAAGGGATGCTAGGAATTTATCTTTCCTTGCCTACAGTAAACTCTTGGGCACCTTGACATTTTGTTCCTACATTAAATTAGAAAAAATTACTTTTAAAACCATTCTCATTTATTTACTTATAGCTAGCCTGTTACTGAATTGAACATTTAATCATTCTTTAATTTATTTTGTAGGCCAGACTTCATCTTTTCAAAGCTGTCCGTTCTGTCCTAGCCAATGGAATGAAACTTCTCGGAATAACACCTGTATGTAGGATGTAATTTCTAATTAAAATGGCTTTTAAAGTACTAAATTGTAGTTATCCTTAGCTGCCTTGGTGTTCAGAATATAATTTAAGCTATTATTGTGTGTCAGAATCTATATTTAAGTGTGTCTTACCACGGTATTCAGTCTTTACCCTTAAAATAAATAAATAAATCATCTGAGTTCCCTCATGGTCAGTAGGTACTTAAGTAGACCTTTGTAAAACTAGGGTGAGTCTTTTTAAACTTAAAGCATTGTGGTCAAATGGGGCTAAAGGATCAGAGTTTAAACTCTGGTTTGAAGTTTATTACATTACAATGTCATTCTTTTAGAAACTCTCCATATAACTGAGATGATCTGTTTTCATCAAATAATCGATGAGGGGAAAAAAAATCTCAATTTTCCTCCAATCGTGACTAGTTCTTAATATAATATAGGGAGATCAGAAATAAGCATCTTTTTGCCAATATAGCTGACAGCTACTCCCAGAGAGAGCAGTTGTCAGACCTCATGTTTACTTTTTCATTGATCTATACAGGTAACTCTTATTGTGTGAGCTCAGAAACTGAATACATTTGAAGAGCAAGGAATTACTTGTATATTGTATTAGGATCTTTTTGTAAAATGTAGTCCATTATTGAACCATAATTTAAAGTGGAGTTTCTTGGTTTCCTTCATGTATCTGCATATTGGTATGGTATATTTTGTGTGACTTAATTAGGGGTAACATGAGTAGGATGTGGTACATTTATCAGTATGACCCTCATCTGTATCTGCCAGCATTTCCATTCAGGTTGACTATAATTTATTCTAAATGTTGCTCATAGAAGTCTTCTGAATACTGATGACAATCTACTTTTACAAAGAGAGGCAAATTAGCATGAAACAAAGCTGTTCTAGTTAGAATGAAAATTGTTTTATATGTGCAAGTATGGTTTACTTTCTTAGTCCTAGAGAGGACTTATCCATGTAGTCTCAACTTTAAGCAAACTAGCTTCCAGATTGCTAATTTTCCACTTAAAGTAGCATTAAAATTCCCTTAGCAGAAACCAGCCATAGAATTAAAATGTACAGTAGGGACATGTTTTGCATGTCCAATATCCCTTTCCACTTCTTTGGAGAAACTTTCCTTTTCTAAAATCAGTGGTAGCCTCCTGAGTATTTGAATCTTTGAAATGATACAGGGACAGTAATGAGTAGAATTACATTTTTACGAAGCAGCTCACTGAAAAGACTGTTTGTTAATTCCTACAACCTGTCGCCCAGGCTGGAGGGCAGTGGCATGATCATGGCTCACTGCAACCTTGAACTCCTGGACTCAAGCCATCCTCCCAACTCGGCCTCCCTGTAGCTGGGACTAAAGGTGTGTACCACCATGCCTGGCTAAAATTCCTTTTTTTGTTTAAGGCTTGCCAGAGTCAGTTTATAACTATTATTTGCAAACAAAGAACCTTAACTAATACTATTCCACATATAGAAAATAAATTATTTTTAATGTTTTTGCATATCTTAATGGTCATATCTATAATACAAAAAAGTGATTAAACAGTTCATATAAATAAAGTTTATTGCTGAATTTCCCCACTAACATTATATAGAAATTTTTTTAAAAACACTGAAATTTCACAATTGTTGAGAGCCCAATAGTTAAACATACTTTATTAAAAAAATACAAAAGTGACATTAGAAATTTTTTTGAAGAAAAGTATATCATCTAACAGCAAAGAAATATGAACCAGACAATGAATGGCACAAATACAGCACTAAAGGAGTACTCAGTCACCACCCAGAAATCATTGTCCAAGTAATGAAATAGATTCAGTTTGAAAGTTACACATTCAGTTTGTTTCTGAACTAGCCTGTCTTGTTTCTGCCCCTCTTTTGCAAGAAAAGAGCTTATAGGGGTCTTTACTGCTGCTGGGACAAAATACTGTACATAAATTGGAGAACAAGGAGGGGTTGTCCTTCTCTCCTGGTACCTGAACAAGAGAACAGTTAGGACAGAAATGGCTTTGGCACTTTAACTTTTAAACATTGTCCCAAACCTTGAATATTGTAGCCTCACATGATTTTTTTAATCCCGTATCACCTCCATACTTTTTATGTACATTATATATATACAATAATAAAATTCTTGCATTCTGAAACAACAGCTTGACCCAAATAGTTCCACATTAAATCTCTGTATTAACAATTCACTCAGATAGCTTTCTTAATTCTTATGCCATGAGTTAATTTGTTTTTGTTTAAGCTACCTTCTGAGATTGACTTAAGGCTCTAGTTTAATGCAAATGGTTTAGTCTTAGTAGAAATCTCACTGGAAGCTGAAATCACACACTGATGACTCTCTCTTTTGAAGCTGTTTCTCCTTGCTGGATGGATGTAGTGTCTTGTCTGGGTAATCCATAGAGATATATGGAAACACATACGAGAAGGGTACCCAAAGCAAAGGTGAGTGCTGAAAAGAAAAAAAAAAAACAAACCTTTATCTGTATTTATTGTATTTGTGTCTTTAAATTCTATAACATTGATCAGTGTAATATTTTGAAAACTTTTTAAATTGTGTGTTTACACTGTCAGATCCCATGAGAAATGAAGCTAAATGTTCTGTTTTTATGATGGTAAGGTTTAGAAAAGTCATCCATTCTAGCCAAAAAAATAAGTGGTAAAATCAAGGAGTGTTGATCATAGACTACACACTTTTAGAACATGAGTATGCCTGTTTTAGACCACTGACACATACTAACTTCCCTATTAAATATGTAATTTTTTAAAATATAAGGTATATAATAAAAAATATAAATACAAAAGAAAATGCAGTGGAATGTGACTTTTCCATGATATTAGAAACCTGCAAAGATTTAGAATAAAAGATAGTTGAGCAATATTCAGAGAGTTAGGTGACCAATTACTCAAACCATTAAAGATTTGTGAATAGGAGTTTATTGAATAAAAGTAAATTATTTCCTTCTAGTCTTAACCTTTTTTCCATCTCAGGATACCAAGAAACTGTGAATTGTCACTTGTCCAAACTTGACAAGTAGGCATTATGTAAATTATGTCACAACTATATATTCTTTCAAAACTGAACCATGTTCTTTTTTTTTTTTTTTTTTTTTGAGACAGAGTCTTGCTTTGTTGCCCAGGCTAGAGTGAGTGCCATGGCATCAGCCTAGCTCACAGCAACTCCAATCTCCTGGCTCAAGCAATCCTGTGTCCAGCCTCCCGAGTAGCTGGACTACAGGCATGCACCACCATGCCCGGCTAATTTTTTCTATATATATTAGTTGGCCAATTAATTTCTTTCTATTTATAGTAGAGACGGGGTCTCGCTCTTGCTCAGGCTGGTTTCGAACTCCTGACCTCGAGCAATCCGCCCGCCTTGGCCTCCAGAGTGCTAGGATTACAGGTGTGAGCCACCACGCCCGGCCTGAACCATAATGTATATGGAATAAAATGATACAGTCTTAATAGCGTTAAAAAATGGCATAAAGAGAAATGACATTAAGCTATGATTTTAGTTCACCCCTAACTGGAAAAGACCAGTTTTGAAAAAGGGAAGATGGAATAAAAATTTACATCTAAATAGTTAACTGAAAGATTGCTAAGATATTCTAATTGACCGCCAGTAATACAGGACATTAACCAACATCATTTCATATTGTTCCTAAATTTGCCTTGGGAGCAAAGGCATAGGATTTTGTTGAACATAAGGATGGATCAGAACTACAATTAAAAGGTCACCCAAATCAGGTAAGAAAAACATCTAAGGGAGGGCCTATAAATACCTAATACTGAAATGGTAAGTGTTGGCCATATGCAGATTACTTACTATGTACCAGGTACTATTCTAAACACATCACCTGAAACAACCCTAGAAGCTAGGTGACACACGGGTACCTTATTTGGTTGCACAACAATATGGTATAGGCAAGGTTTGAGCCATACTGTGAAATGATTTTCTAGGATTTCTGCAACATTAGTGTTCCAATTTGCATTATATATAGGAGTCATTTAAAAATGAAAGGTGGGCCAGGCATATGCCTGGCTCACCGTATATTCATAGCACTTTAGGAGTCCCAGCAGGAGTTTGAGAGCAGCCTGGGCAATAGTGAGACCCATCTTTACAAAAACAAAAAAATTAGGCCGGGCGCGGTGGCTCACGCCTGTAATCCTAGCACTCTGGGAGGCCGAGGTGGGCAGATTGCTCAAGGTCAGGAGTTCGAAACCATCCTGAGCGAGACTCCGTCTCTACTAAAAAAATAGAAAGAAATTAATTGATCAACTAAAAATATATATACAAAAAATTAGCCGGGCATGGTGGTGCATGTCTGTAGTCCCAGCTACTTGGGAGGCTGAGGGAGCAGGATCGCTGAGCCAGTGAGCTCTTGAGCTAGGCTGATTGAGCTAGGGCTGTGAGCTAGGCTGACACCACGGCACTCACTGTAGCCAGGGCAACAAAAGTGAGACTCTGTCTCAAAAAAAAAAAAAAATTAGCAAGACATGGTGGCGCATACCTGTAGTCTCAGCTACTCAGGAGGCTGAGGATTCCAGCCCAGGAGTTTGAAGTTGCAGTGAGCTATAGTGATGCCACTGCACTCTAGTCCAGGTAATAGAGCAAGACCTCATCTTAAAAATGAAATGTAATATAGGCCAGGCCTGTTTCTTTTACTTAATGTAGATATTTGACAGATATTTTTCGTATATTAGCTTTTGGCATAATAACTGATCAGTAAAGAAAATAACTATACCAGAAAAACACACTAAAATGTTAAGTCAGTATTATTGCCTAAATAAGTCAGAAGCCAACTTTAATGCTGGATCTGAGTTTGGAAAATTATATTATTAATAGAAGGACTAGCATAGCACTGGTGCCAGAATGCTAGCTACAGTAATGAGTTTTGTATTAATTACATATTAAATGAAACAAAGGTATTTTTATAAAAGACAAAATCTACATTTGGATTGTATTTTCAAAATCAACTCACACCCAAATCCAAAATAAGAAGGTACAAGCTAAGGGGGGAATAAAAAGTTTTCTAAATAATAAGCCTAGCTAGTTCAATTCAATTGCTGAAAGTAATCATTTCCTAAAGTCCTTAACATTTATTTCCTTGAGTACCTCATCATACTGTATTCACCCTTAATCACTCAAGTTGTCCTGTATCTAATACCTATAAAAACAGTCCTTGACTACAAAAAGTCTTTTTAGAGTAGCCTCCTCACTCTCACATAGAACTGGCATCCCTTGGCTTAAGTGCTAGGACCATATAAAACAACCTAAGTACTGCTTAGACACACTCCACACAACTATGAACTGCATTCGTGGAATAAATTGTAACAAAGCTAGGAAATTCTAAAACACTATGGCCAACTGCCATTTTTAATAAGACATGAAATGAATCATGGAAGTGTGAGGCTCTTCCATGTTAAAAACTTGATAAACACTAAGACATACTTATCTGTAATCCAAACAGCATCACTGAAGAAATGGTAGAAAGGACGATGGCTGCTGCTGCAGAAAAGCCTTTCATGATGTTGTCTGTGTACTTAACCACAACAGACGTATAGAGGCCTCCAACACTTGCAAGAACTTGTATACAAAAAGAAATAAAATCTTAACACTCAAATAAATGAAACATTCCATAACAGTGAGGCAATTTTCATCCCCAGAGATGCCATACTAATTTACCTAGGAAAAGGAAAATACTATTTTCCTTAGAAGCAGTCATCTGAGAGAGTTTATACTGAAATTGAGTAGTAGTTCCTATATAACATCGTTTTTCCAAAACAATGCCCAAAGGGCTATGTGGTCTAATACTAAATTGTACACATTTATTGCTAACACATTAGATACTTTTGTGGCATAGCTATCCCAAAGCAATTTTGCCTTCACAATCAAAAGTCAATAAAACCAAAATTACATTTTCAAACTGGTATTCACAGTATCAAAGGAACAATTTCAACAATGCTATAACAGCTTAAAATGGATATCTAACTTAAGAAAAATAGATCTACTCAGAACCTTTAATTCCTGGATACTTACAGATGACAAACCAGACATAATACGTGTAACCATAGAAAAATCCTTTTTCTTTAATTTCAGCTCCATCTGACAAGTAGACGACAGTTAATGTCACAATAATCCCTGACAGATACATTTGAATGTTCCTCACCCAAAGGGAAGTGTCTGAACTCTTTAATACTTTTTCAAAATACACTCCTGAAAGAAAATTAGACATGCAAATATTAAGATTAGTATAAATTAATTTAAAATGGCTCTCATTGAGAACAATGCCCGAACGTATATGATTTGGAGAACAAACATACTTTACATTAGTTAAATGTGCATTTATTACGTAGGTTGTAACACATAGCACATTGAACATTACTAGTTTGCATTTTTACAAAGTGTATAGATTAATAAGTGGGAACTTTATAAGCTACATTTAACAAGAGACTGTTAAATTATTAAGAACAATTTCTGCCTTTATTATAGCAATAAGATCACAAAAGCTCTCTCCTACTTAATGCCAATAAATGACTTGCTATGGTCAGTTGGAAAGCTACACTATTAAAGTAAATTATTTTAATCACATCTCTAATATCTGTGTAGTAATGAATACTCATAACTTTGCAAAATAACCCATATAATCACCACTTTTTTCAGAGTACTGCAACCAAAAGAAAATGTAAATAGAACTCCTGAGTTTCCTTTAAAGCAATGTTCCACAATCCAAGTTCACACACAATATCAGAAGCACCATGAACTCCCCAACTAGATAATAAACTGTGTGTATGCGCATTTTTCTGGGGTTGAGGGTCTTTAGATTATTTTTTAGATACTCCAAAGTAGTACATGACACCCCCCCCAAGTCATATACCACTGCTATAAGTTTTATACTTAAAATGAATGCTTGTTTAACATGGACAGTAAAGATTTTAATTATAAATACGTTAATTAGAGACTTAGGAATTACCATTAAAGTACTTATGAACTAAAAAATCTAATGAAAAGCAAGACTGTTTTTGATTAACCTCTGTTAGACCCAAGAATGCAGAGAAACATAAAATGGCTATTCTTATCTCCACCTTTGATTTTACCATCTGGGAAAACCATTTAACTAGACAGTGCTCACTCAGTCACTCTAACCACCCTCAATTTCCTCAGCTGTGTACTGAAAGGCTGAACTAAATACAATGTTGGACAAAAGCATGTAACTGTTCAAAAGTATTTTTAAAAATCAAATTGTATATTATTTTGGGGGTAACTCAATTTTTGTTCCTAATTTTTTGGTTTAGGTACCAGGTTTAGCATGATGCTATCATTACTATTTCTAAATTTAGATTTTCCCCTCTTGTAAGACATCTCATTTACAGGCAATATATTACTTCCCTATCAGCCTACTTTCCTAATCAAAAATAAACAGCCCTAACTTGAAATAAGCGCAAATAAAGATAAATAATAAAGACATAAAGCTCTTTTTAGTAAAGAGTATATTAGTTATAGCTGTAAGTTTCATCTTTGTTGGAACTATTTTTAAAATACATTTAACATTCATATTTATATATTTTTTAAGACAGAGTCTCACTCTCTCGCCCTAGATAGACTGCAATGACATCACTGTAGCTCACTGCAACCTCAAACTTCTGGTCAGATCTTCCGAGTAGCAGGGACTACAGGCACACACCACAACGCCCAGCTAATTTTTCTATTTTTAGTAAAGACGAGATCTTGCTGTTGCTCAGGCTGGTCTCAAACTCCTGAGCTCAAAAGCAGTCCTCTGGCCTTGGCCTCACAAGAGTGGTAGGATTACAGGGATGAGCCACTGCGCCCAGACACATTCATACTTTTTTATCTTTTCTTAATTCATTGGAGCAGTGCTTATCCCTACACATACAAATCCAGACTTCCATGTTTTTTTGATATTGGCAATTTTGTGTTGTCCTCCCTCCCTTTTTGGCTGTTACTTTTATGTATTAGGTGTTCCAAGGCTATAGTCTCCAACCCCTGGGTTATGGGCTGGTACTGGTCTGTGGCCTTTTAGGAACTGGGCCAAGCAGCAGGAGTGAAGCTTCATCTGTATTTACAGCCACTCCCCATCACTCACATCACCGCATAAGCTCCACCTCCTGTCAGATCAGGGATGCCATTAGATTCTCATAGGAGTGCAAACCCTACTGTAAACTGCACATGCAAAGGATCTATGTTGCACGCTCCTTATGAGAATCTAATGCCTGATGATCTTAGGTGGTGATGCTAGCACTGGCAGGACCTGCACATACAGATTATCATTAACAGAGAGGTTTGACTGAACAATAAATGTAACACGCTTGAATTATCCCAAAACCATTCCTGACCCCAGTCCATGGCAAAATTGTCTTCTGTGAAACAGGTCCCTGGTGCCAAAAAGGTTGAGGACCACTGTTCTAAGGTACTTCACACCCATATCCTCTTCCTACTCCCTAGCTCCCAACCTGTTAAAGCAGAGGAAAGACTTAAGGTTATACAAAAAAACAAAAGAAATTAATTGGCCAACTAATAAATATAAAAAAAAAGAAAAAACAGATACTGAACTGGTAACATTAACAACATAAAGCAGATCTAACTTTAGGGTAGTGCCAGTTCCAGAAAAATGGAAAGAGGTATTTGAGCTTTCTGAAAGCTAATTTCCTCCATTTTCAGAAGTCTTTTTTCATTTACTTTTGGGTTCTTGACTGGATTGAGATGGTCAACAGTAACAAGTATATTTTTAAATAACTGCAAGTATGAATTAGGACTGAAGTCTGAACTGAGTTAAATAATGCTACACATTTACTAGAAAAACAGCTGACACGGAACTAAATATAAGTAAGAAGATAAATCTTTTTAATGAGAATAAAATGATAGAAGTCCAGTGGCTCTGAAGAGGAAAAAGAAAAAAAAATTTTTTTAAGTTAAAAATATTTTTTAAAAAAAGAAAATGATAAAAACAAGGTGAACTTAATCTGTATTTAAAGTGTAATTTTTCAAAAAATATGACCAAAGAATAAAATGATATTTTTATGACTTACCTGCAAAACCTGAGCACAACACAGCAATAGCTATAGCTCCAAATCCTAATAATGGATTCTGTTCCACCTGCAATATTAATTTTTAAAGGTTATTTTTAGTGACTAATAAATAGAATTTATCTAAGAATCCAAACAAATGAATACAAATATCTGTGTTACAGCCTTACTAAAGGTATGTTCCATTACAGACACAGATATTCTACAGAATAAGACAAGACCAAACAAAACAAAGACCATTCCAGAAATTAATCAGAGCACTTAAGTTAAAAATGTGCACCTAAAATCACCTAGTATATGCTTAATATAACATGTACATAAACACTCTAGCATAGAGTTTTGCAGTAGTCACCCTGCTTCTTAATTTTAATTTCTGCCACCACCCTAACTCAAGCCCTTACAGCCATCAATCCTGGAAACTATAACTAATTTATTCCCCATCAACTACAGGATGAAGTGCTGGCTTCTAAGACTTCCCACTTTATTCAATTTTTATCAAATATTTATAGTGCATCTTCTGTGTACCAGATTCATTGTTGTTTATATACTGCTGTATTAAATAGTCTGAATGTCCACTCTAAAACTCATATTGAGATTTAAGTGCCATTGTAACAGTGTTAAAAAGTGGGACATTTAAGAGGTCATTATGTCAGGAGGTCTCATGAAGTGATTAATGCCATTATCAAGGGAATCAGTTGTTGGGGGAGTGGGTTCTTGATAAAAAGGATGAGTTCAGCCCCCTTTCCTCTCTGACTTGTGGGCTCACCTCTACCTTCCACCATAGGATGACCCTCACCAGATGCCAACACCATGCTCTTGGACTTCCAAGCCTCCAGAACTGTCAGCCAGATAAACTTCTGTTGTTTATAAATTACTCAGTCTGTGGTATTATAACAGCATAAAATGGACTAAGACACATACTAAATGCATAAGGATGATATACAGCTCTGGTTCCTAAACAGTTTCATGTGCAAGAGAAACTTACAAGTATATATAAGCATAGTACTGTGAGACAAGTGCTAACAGATGCATAGATTGGGGCCCCAACCTACTGTTTCAACTTGTTTTCTTCTTTCTTCCCTAAACTAACCATCAGAAGCTTTTGTCAGTCTTTCCTGAATGAGAAATATTGTCTCAGAAGTATCAATGAAATTAGAGGGTTGAGACTCAGGACTGTAATATGACAAGGAAGCATATACCTCGTTCAAAATAAATGAACCTGATATAAGGAGTGTACTACTTTTTGTTAAGTACCTGGGAGGGAAATCTTGGTCTAAAATGTTTGCATGAAGATACAAGGAAAAACAGACGATACTATAGACCAGTGCTTCTCAAGGTATGCAGCAACACATGGGAATTTGTTAGAAATGAAAACTGTCAGGCTCTACCCAGACTTACTGAATCATAAGCTATGGCGATGGGTCCAACAGTCTGTTTAACCTTCCAGTTGATTCTGAGAAACACTGCTATAGACTACAAATGCAATAGACCAAAGTTTGAGAACCACTGCTATAGACTACAGATGATTAACATAGATACTTGCCTAATACAAATGTCAAGACTGCCATAGATAAAAGAAGAAAATCATAGTGTTAGATTTCGCCAATCCCAACTTCTGCTAGGAAGCTCAAACTGCTAAAAATAGAGTATCTGATAAATTCTTAACTTTCTTTCCTGCCAGTTTAATCTCTCAACAGTTATAAAAAATCATGATGGAAACTGGTTCTCTAGACTTGATTCTGATTGATAAGAACTGCAGGGTGATGAAATGGATGTGATGAAAACTTGGGAATAAAGCAACCACATCATCATAGCATGAGTAATAACCAAACAGCACAGTTAAGAGACATGTGGTTCAGTTTTGAATAAATCAAAATTCAAAACTTCAAGTCAGAATTCCATGGCTTATGAGAAAACAGTTCAAGAGGGATTAAGAGGTATTGAAGAAAACTATGAGGTTCTGATGTAGAATAAAGGAATACATAAATGATCATGAATAAATAAGGGCATCTTCACTGAATTCTGATTTTTACAGGAACTGCAGATCACCAAGAGGAATCTAACCAAGAATTTAAGAATAGTAGCAAGAAGTTAAAGACTCAGAATAAGTAGAGGCTTATAAAAAAATACTTTAAAACGTTAAAGAATGTCTTTAAAGTATGTTTATTCGGGAAGAAAAGAATATGTTTCTTGAGCTAGATAATGTACTGTTGTTAGATGGCAATCTAGTTTCCAATTTCTTTTTGAATAATTTTTAAATAATAAGCATATTTAAAAAGGGACTGATGTCCAAGACATCTGGCTTGCTATTATAAGAATCCCTAGCTATATAAATTCAAAAGTCTTTTTACCAAGAAAAGTTGGCAAGTATATATAAAGCACTTACAATAATGCTAGTATTTAGTGCCATATAGTGATTACTGTTACATTGATTACTAGGAAAATATTAAAATAGACTTAACAGATGATTTAAAGAACTTAAAAAGTTTAGAAGTCATCAATGAAAAATAGTGTGGCTTCCCTAAGAGTGAAACATACCAAATTTCCTTACTGAAAGTATTCCTAGTCTTAAGTGATAAGGGGAATTCCATAGAGATGTTTGGCAAGAAACTTGACAGATCTGTATATCTTTGTAGACAAGATAGAAAGGTAGTGAGGCTGAAAGTACAATGTATTCATAAAAGAGTGAATGCTCATACAGAAAAATTTAAACTAATAGAACTAAGTCAAGCTAGACCAGCAACCAATACTAACTTGCCAGGAAAATGAATGAGCCACCTTAAACACAGATCTTCTAGATCCTTTTGTAATTGATAAGTGTGATGATTGGGTTTTCACACATGTGAGATGTTATGATGTTAGCACATTCTCCATCTGATGTAAAAGAAAAAAACCAACAGATCTTCCAGCCCTAGTTGAGCCTTCAGATGACTGCAGCCCTAACCAATATCTTAACTGCAACTTTATGAAACCTCAAGCCAGAACCACATAGCTCAGGCACCCTCAAATTCCTAATAAAAACTGTGAGAGATGGCAGATATTTAGCAAGCAAGAATAAAAGCTAGAGAGGTCTAAAATCATAGCTATAGAACTCTGGTTCTGTTATGTCTAAAATTTTCAGTAAACACCCAGAAGATATATCTGTTGACTCTAGAAAACATAGTAATCAAAGAAGCAGCTAATAATGTATAAGAACTAGAAAGCACTCAAAGGGCTGAGCAATGACCCACAGCTAACAAAATAAGCTTAATAAATACAAAAATATCCTGCATTTTGGTTTAGAATAAGCCTACTGTTCAAGACACATTTGAGACAAACTATGTGACACAGCTACATGTAGTTGTGTATAATCAACTATAGAATAGATAGCCTGCCTCCCTCCCAAAAGAAACTAATATAGTCATGCACCACATAATAATATTTCAGTCAATGACAGACCACATATGTAACGGTGGTCCCATAAGATTTTAATACCATATTTTTACTGTATCTGTTCTATGTTTAGATACACAAATAACATTCTGTTATAGTTGCCTACAGTATTCAGTACAGTTACATGCTATACAGGTTTGTAGCTTAGGAGCAATAGGCAATACTATCTAGGTTTGTGTAAGTACACTTTATGATGTTCTCACACTAATGCAATTACCTAATGATAAATTTCTCAGAACTCTGAACTAATACCCATCATTAAGCAATGCATGACTGTATAATCTTATGCTGATTTAACAAGTCTCCAGTATTCAGAACAAAGGGGGTAATTACCAAGGTATACTTCACACTACTCCAGGCAACATCTGGAGTTAGTGTGAAGTCTGAGGACATACTGAGAAACAATGACAGATGGGGGCAAGAAGCAGGGACCAGAAAGTCTCAGAAACCATATTATAGAAAGAAACAATAGGGTGGTTTAAATGGAGGGAGGGAGGGGACCTGGAAGGTGGAGATGTGATACTGTCCTCAAACATTCACAGGATCATCCCAGGGACTTAGTAGGGATTTGAGTTACTCTGTCAAGAATAAAGAACAATGAAAGGTAATTACAAGAAGCTACATTCTGTTTAAAATATGAAAGAACTTTCTAGAGGGGCCCCAAAGTAGAATAAGCTTTAGCATAGCTTTTCACATACATTATCTATGTGAGGTGGACCTAACACCTTTTCTATTGGTGTAAAATGTTACTTAACATGCATTTAACTTTTAAGTGTTTTCCTTACTTGCCAAACAAGTTATTTTTCTGAAGGTCTACAACTTAGTTAAATGTGCAGTGCATGTTTAATAGATGCTTTGTCACCAAGAATATGAGCATGCTTCCACATCGGAAGACAATAAATATTACTCTAACACTCATTTTCTGAAAACAAAAACATTTCTCTGCCAAGCTAGAGAGTAACTACTAAAGAGGAATAGACTTGCTAACTTTCACAAGTTCTCTGCCTTCTCTTCCTGAGAAAACCATGGTGTATTTGCTAAAAGTTAGCGTACATATTCCACTGTAGAGGGAAACCTTGACTTTCAGAAAGCCATTCACTAGCGTTCTACTTCCTACTATTCTTTGGGGAAATAACTGATTGAGGGATATATTTTTTTAAAAAAATCAGGTATGTACCTTAACATTAACTCTTAAAAACTAAAAGAAGTAAAGAGTATTTTTGCCCTATTTTCATTATCAATTATCAGTAAGATTTCTTCCCTGTCTTCCCTATCACTGACAGTGGGCATATGTGCCAAAGTATAAGAGACCGAGTTGAGGGAGACAAAAAATGACGAAGAAAACCTTGCCCAGTGTTTCTGAGAAGATGTCTAAAAGAGGTCTAGAAGTTCTGAAGATATACACTGTATGGAAGTTGGCACAGTTTTAGTCACACATTAGCTATTAACTAACAACTATGTAATAACTTTGGACAAGTAATATCACCTCTTTGGACTTCAATTTTGTCATCCATAAAACAAAGGGGTGGAATACATTATATCTAAGGTAACTTCCATCTCTTAACACATTTTATGCACACACTCCTCAAAGAAACAGAAAGCTAATAAGTACTGTCCTTAATAATAGTATGCTGGGGGGGGGAAGCATATCTAGAAGGCAAAAGTTATTTTAAATCAAAGATATGTAACCATGCTGCATGCATTAATGTGACTGAAGTGTATAGGACTTAAGGAATTTTCCCATTTTAGTTATAGAATGCATTTTGTTTCTTACCACAATTTTTGTAGCTTGGGCTGGCTTCCACTGTACAAGTGTCACTCCACCACACAGCATAAAAACTGAAATCCACTGTAATTTGCTGAGTGTCCGATTTAACATTAAAACAGTACATAAAGCAGTACAGGGAATCTTCAATTGGTAGGTCACCTATAAACAAAACAATGAATTAATAAATTCAGTTAATAGTCGTCTGACACAAATATATTATTTCTTTTTTGTTGTTGTTGTTGTTTTTGAGACAGAGTCTCACTTTCTTTCCCAGGCTAGAGTGAGTGCCATGGCATCAGCCTAGCTCACAGCAACCTCAATCTCCTGGGCTCAAGCAATCCTGCTGCCTCAGCCTCCCGAGTAGCTGGGACTACAGGCATGCACCACCATGCCCAGTTAACTTTTTGTATATATATTAGTTGGCCAATTAATTTCTTTCTATTTATAGTAGAGATGGGGTCTCTCTCTTGCTCAGGCTGGTTTTGAACTCCTGACCTCGAGCAATCCGCCCGCCTCGGCCTCCCAGGCGGCCTCACAGGCGTGAGCCACCGCGCCTGGCCACAAATATATTATTTCTGATGTCATTAACAGAATTGAGAAAAACATTTGATAATGTGGTAAAGAGTTAATAAAAAAAACTTTTCACCATAAAAGATAATGTGCTTCTCATTATCATCAACTCCACTTACCTGGTACACTGCTGCATCCAGGTTGCTAAGAGCTAAGAAAGCCATGTTGTTCTGAACAGCATACACTAACGATGGCACACTTAACTTCATTAGTTCCTTGGGGCTCCTCAACACATTTTCTCTTAAAGATGCCTTGAATCTATCCAGACTACCAGTTTCTCTGGAAACAAAAGGGGGAAATGGAAGGGTGATGAAGAAGAAAATTAAAGAGCATTCTTTTAGTAAAATTCCTTCATATATAGGACAGTATACTGTCTTAAGTTTAAGTCCATTGATGTAATGGCAAACTTGTTTTTCTAATAATTACCAAACTAATTTTAGATTTATTAAAAAACATACCAATGATGTAACCTCATAAAAAAATTACAAGTTCTTTTTGGGCATATATGACAAATAACTTGGTTTTCCACTATCTGGTCAAAGCTCCAGGAGTTTTTGAGTATATTAAATAATGAGGTCAGGAAACCAGAAATGCTGACACTACCTATTAAAAATGAAACCCCTGCCACTTCAATTGTATTGCACCAAGTTCACCCTGATTACTTTTTAAAGTTTTTAAAAATTACAATAGATTTAACTGCAAACAAAAGAAAAAGGCTTTGGTAGTTATGGAAGTTACTTTGGTTAGAAATAAAGTGATTCGGGTCAATATTATTTGTAAATGAATTCAGTGCTTATGAAATATAGTAGACAATACATCTTTAAATAAGGATATTCTCATAAAACTTATCTCTAAAATTCTGTGGGAAATCTGAATAAGTTACTAACCCAACAAAAGTAAATCTTTCTGTGATGTACATAAAGTTTACTACTTGACTACATATTGATTATGCATGCTCTTAACTACTCTTAGTTTTTTTGCTCAGGAGGAACTGGCTAATCTGGCTCATATTTCCTCAATTATAAATCAGCTCACCTATTTCCTGAAAATAAAAATAAAGCAATGTTTTATAAGAAGCATGAATACCCCCAAAAAAGTGCTTTACCAAAATGGTCCTGACTCCAATTCAACAATACCCTTAAGAGAACCAAATACTTTGTTAGGGAGACAGCTCTATTTCAGCTCAAAGTTTGATATTCACAATGAACTCTACATTGTTGATTTAATACATCAGAATCAACAGGTGTCAGTTGATTTTTTTTCATATTTAAATACTGCAAAAATAAGTATCTTAAGTTCTAAGGAGGAGCAAAAAGTCCACGATGCCAAGTTGACTACCTGTGCCTATTTATTCACTGCAGAACATTCCACCCCCAAGAAAATGGTTAAGAAGACAGGAAATTTAGCCTAGGCTACAGAAACAAAAGACATCCTTCTTAGTTACAGATCTTCCGTTACCAAATCCAAAACCCTTCTACACCATGATGTTAAATATGTATGCTGAAGAGTAATGCACACAGTCTGGTAGGAGGACTTATCAGAAGAGGGAAAGAAAACCAAAAAGATTGCTCTACTGAAAAATCTATGTACTAGAGTTTTTCATGTGTCTTAAGATTGGCTCATTAAACTGACATATGGCATTCTCTTTTTAATTGCTTGATACAAATCTAAGATGTTCTATATATTTTCCTGACATCTTAAACAGAGTATAAAGAATTTTCAAGAATGCTATCTCCTCAATTGAAAAGTTGAAGAAAAAAGAGATTAACCTCCTCCTGTAACCATTTATCTCCCACGTAAGATTATTCAAGCTGAACCCTCAAAGTCTACACAGTATAATGGCTATTTATCATTTCCTTAATTTCCAGCTACAAGCAATACCATTTTACCTCTACCTCTTAAAGATATTATATGCCTTCAATGATATCAAATGACATTTTTTGGCTATCTAGAGAAGACAGTTGATCTCTTTGCCTTGTCAGAACATGGGCTACTTAAGGATCCAATTGCTATTCCAAATAACCCCCATACATGCACCAGTAATCAAGGTTGCTGTGGTCCCTTTATTCCCTGTCGCTTTTCTCTTACCTACTCCCCCTCACTTTTCTGATTTCACATTAAAAAGAAGGCTTATGAAACAAATCAGCAGCCAATCTGAAGACCCCTTTCCTTTAGCTTGGCAAATCAGTAAAGTGTAGTGTGTCAGGATTAACCTTCAGGTCTCTGTCTCTTTTGGCCATATCCTTTTTGTTGGATGCATAAGAGCTACTGTCACTGCCAGGAAGGTTTAAGTATCTTTTTCTGGTTCCTCCTCTAGTGCAGACACTAGAAGAAGCCAAGGTATGTCAGAACATTAATTGCTGGAGAGCTCAAGGGTCCCTGTAGTACCATGGAATTATAAATATTATATAATTATAAGTAAGATACTTTGAAATAAGTTACAAAAAAAAATAGCAGATGATGCTAAAACAACTAGTAAAAGAACAAAAGCTCAAGGATAAGAAAAGCATCAGAAAGTAGATTTAAGAGGTATGAAAAAAAGTGGGAATCTGATCACACAGTTTTAAAGAAGGGGGTAAATGATTTCAGTATTAATCAGATTAAATCTTCCTTAAGTTAACATATTTAGAATACTGTACTTAAACCCTATATTTAGCTGAAGTTATATAAAAGTAACAAGAGCAGTATATCTTCTATAAGACACTAGTGATCATCTGTCCTTTTGTTTTACTATTAAGGTGATAGAAATAATGGATCAGTTCTAAATATACTGCAGCCTTGAATGTACTATAAAAAGGAACACATAAAAACCAAAGGCTATTTTTTTCCCATTTTCCTGAACTTATATTTTCTTAGAAATTAAATCACAAGCACCTTAATGAGCACCTTTTGTTAAAAACACATGTAATCATATAAATGACACTGCTAGATAAGAGAAAGAACATGTATAATCAAAAGCATATATTAAATTTTTTTAGATATTATCCTACTGAATCTACAGGACAAAAAAAAAATTAAAATTAAATATAGATATAATCTTTTTTCATTAAGTCTTCTATTTGAACAATTCATTTGATTCTTATCATTGAAATAGAATCTATGTGCAACCTTTGGTTACCTGAAGAAATTCTGAAGTTCCATGTTGATTGCAGAGAGATTCCGCTGTAGCCTCCCCCCCCAAATTTCCTATCAACCGGCTGAAACCAATTCTTTCTGACCTATGTTTGGTCAAAAGTAGGCCTCATTCTTCCAGCTCCTGATCTGACGAGAACTACTAGGAGGCATAAAATCCTTGGCTAGGTTACTAAGGCACTGTGCAAAATGGAACACAGCAGAAGTTACTTGTGAGCTTAAGAAATTTAAATTTTGTTTACAAATTTCTTATTATCTGCAAAGTTAATTATAATTAAGTTGCATAAAAGACTTTGAGGGGCTAGGCATAAAAACCAATAGTGAAGTCCATTTGAGGACAAAAGTACCCATCATATGAGGTACATGATTTTTACTTCTTCTTAAGACCCTGGACCCATTATAACATGAGTATAAAAAGGTAGTGAAAGTAGTAACCCACAGGAGAAATAAACAGGCCTGGATAATCTATAACATGCATCTTTGACAGCTACATAATTATTCTAGATGATACTATGAAGCAGTAAAAGAATTTTCTCTAGTTTTAATATGGACATGGAGTTCAAAGTTAAGATACATTTGGTTACTAAACACACCCAAAATATATGTCCGTTAATATTTACACATCCTGCTAGGGTTGCTAAGTCTTTATAGACTGTGGTGAAGAGCAAACAATAAAAAGTCAACTTTGTTCTAAGGCAATGTAAAAGTGTTTTCACTTCCTTTTCTTCATACCACCAATGACAGATTTAATTCTAAACTGTTAGTGTTAATAGCTGTCACAGGGTTTAGTAAAGCACATAGCTAACAAGCAATTGGCCAGCAAATTGCAATAGTAATTAGTTTTATGAAAAAACAAAATATTTTTAAATGTATTGTTTTATATTTCAATCAAAATATAGCTTGGAAACTGGTAACTTAAAATTCAAATATTAAAAAAAGAAATCACCTTATTCACAGCCAGAGCTTTGGCAACATCAAACTGCTAATGTGCCCCCCCCTCCCCACAAACAGGATTCACTGATTTCCTTTTCAATTCAGAAATGATCTGATATACTCACACATGCGCACAATAGTATATGTACAAAGGTAATTATTACGTCTTTGTTTTGTAGAAGACTAGAAACAACCCAAATATCCATCAGTAGAGATTGGTATATATGATACATCCATATAATGGAATACTATGCAGCTTTTAAAAATAATGAGACAGCTTTCTATGTACTGTCATGAAACCACCTCTAAATAAAATATTTACGTGTTAAAAAAAAAAGTAAACTGGAGTAGTGTGTTCACTGTGTATCACACACAGTGCCCAGCAATCTCTTGAACATAACTAAAAATCACCAGTTGGACCACATAAACCATATATATCAAAGTAAAGTAGCCATCCATTAATTTCTTCCCACACCCTCCTTTTTTCTTGCAGTTCTAACTTCTGATTGAAATAAGTATAATTTCACACTCTAAAAATTCCTGGAAATTATCAACAAGGATGAGGGGATCTCAAATTAAGTACAAACAGAAACCAAGAAAACCTGTCAGTATTTGAAAGGAATAACAAAATTACACTGTAAAAGAGAACCCAAGTATTCTAAAACACAGTGTTTTTACTGTATGCTTTAAAACCAAAAGCAAAAAGACCTACATAAAAATACTGAACTTTCAGTTAGTAGGTTTGTTTTTTCACAAGTATATATTAGGAATTCTAAAATTACTTATGTATCCTAAGATTGAGCAAATAAATATCTTGAGTATAATGGACACTAGACTCCTCACCACTAGAAAAGGAACAAATATGGGTAAGGGGAAGGTGAGAATGAACCCTGTGGTGTTAGATCACAACTGTAGATATCAATCAATATGTAACTTATTGTTATACACACACACATACACACAAAGAGGGAGAACTAGATAAAAAGAGGTATGTATGTATACACATGCATATTTCCTAGCTCTGTTAAAAGGGTCTAGAAGTAATAATACTGCAATAGCAATGTGTATACCTACTGCCTCCATTCTTGTTTCTAAATGCCATTCTGGCAAAAAAAAAAAAAAAAAAGGAACAAGGGCTCCTAGAAGTACTGTATGATGTCAGGGTTGGGGCAGGGAAAGTACAAGATAAGCCTAGAACATCTTGCTATGCTAAA